TATATTTTGGTTTCATCTGACCATATGACATTCTCCCAATCCTCTTCTGGATCATCCAAATGCACTCTAGCAAACTTCAGACGGGCCTGGACATGTACTGGCTTAAGCAGGGGGACACGTCTGGCAATGCAGGATTTGAGTCCCTGGCGGAGTAGTGTGTTACTGATGGTAGGCTTTGTTACTTTGGTCCCAGCTCTCTGCAGGTCATTCACTAGGTCCCCCCGTGTGGTTCTGGGATTTTTGCTCACCGTTCTTGTGATCATTTTGACCCCACGGGTTGAGATCTTGCGTGGAGCCCCAGATCGAGGGAGATTATCAGTGGTCTTGTATGTCTTCCATTTCCTAATAATTGCTCCCACAGTTGATTTCTTCAAACCAAGCTGCTTACCTATTGCAGATTCAGTCTTCCCAGCCTGGTGCAGGTCTACAATTTTGTTTCTGGTGTCCTTTGACAGCTCTTTGGTCTTGACCATAGTGGAGTTTGGAGTGTGACTGTTTGAGGTTGTGGACAGGTGTCTTTTATACTGATAACAAGTTCAAACAGGTGCCATTAATACAGGTAACGAGTGGAGGACAGAGGAGCCTCTTAAAGAAGAAGTTACAGGTCTGTGAGAGCCAGAAATCTTGCTTGTTTGTAGGAAATGTTTTAAAACATTAGCTGTCACCTTGAGGCTTGATAGGGGGTAAAAATGTTTTTCCTGAAGGGAAGGCAATTTCGTTATTTGTTAGCTAGCTAGGCAGCCAGTAAGGTTTTACCCCTCTATCAAGCCTAAATAGCTAGCTAGCTAGCCCTACTGGCTGCTGGCCAAATTGGATAACGTTCTTGATTCTAGTTACTAAGATAAATAAAACATCTCAAGTTAGCTACTCACTTTAACATTAACTTATTTTAGGTATTTTCTGAACAGTTTCTCACTTCTTTGTTTCTCCAGCTGTCAGTTCAACCACACACCATTTACACACTCATTTGTGGCACCCAAATTAAAAAATGACAGTTGGAACTCCACAGAAGGAAATACCTGATTCTTGTTGCTAGGCTACCAGTTACAGTGCTTTTAGCTTGCGGTTTGCGAACACATTTATGCATAGGGAATAAAAAAATTATAGCTAGTGTCTAAAATAATTATATGGATTTAATATTTTCTCAAATTATTGAGCATGTCTTCAACTCAAATAAGCGTCAGAAATTGTCCTTATTTAGCATATCAAGATCCTGATATGGACCTCAGTCAAGAGCATATGCATTGTATGTGCTGAGAAAATATACTATGTAGGCCTACTGTCAGTATTTGTCTTCATATAGAGAAAATAAGATGTCCACATAGGCCTATCTAAGGATATCTAATGACTCAATATCCGGCCATACCATGTATGATATCCGGAGGGAATCCATAAATGATTTGTGCATAAAATAAACATTTTCAAATTATTGAGCATGTGCTGAAAACTCCGAAATGCATTAGAAATCATCCTTATTTTCAGCATATCAAAAAGCATATCAAGATCCGGATATTGATCTCAGCCAAGAGAAGCAAATCTGGAATCAATATAGCATAATATATTGAATGTGCTGAGAAAACACAGATATGTGATGTATACAGTCAGTATTTGTCAACATGAAGAGAGAAAATAGGATGTCACTTATGTCCATATCCGGCCGTAGGAAATGTCCATGTGTGATATTAGGAGTAATCCCAATATCATATATGTGTAAAAGACATCTGGATTCAGAATTTCTCAGGATATGGTGCATATCGACAAAACTCAACATATGCAATGGAAATGGTCTGTATTCTCTAGAATATCAAAAACGTGTCATGTAAAGATATCCCCTGATATAGACCCCTTTCGGCCAGTACTGTTTCGTTCCATTTCTCCAAACGTCAAATTTCGAACCTGCTGCTCTGTATCGTTCCATTTCTCAAAATGTAGAAGTTAAGGGTTAAGTTTAGGCTTCACAATATTATTTACCCGCCAGTGTTGTGATTGGATGTGATATTCGCCTATTGATTTCTCCCGCTGGAACGGCACCTGTTATCAAATTGGGAAAGCTGTTCTGACTTTGTGGCTGTGTTATCTAGTGGAAATTGCTTTAACTTTTCATGGTTGCTAAGATTCTACACTGTTCGCTCAATTTCAGTTTACGTGAGAAAACAAGTACTGACGTCTGAAAATGCCTATTTTTACCTATCATTCAGCACCTAAAATTCACCTGATTTCAACGTCTGGAAAATACATAATTATGTTAAAAGTCCAGAAATACATATGTTCAATGTCCGGAAAATACGTATTTTCAACATCTGGAAAATACTTATTTTTGAAATCCGGAAAATGCACGTGATGTCAACTTCTGGAAAATACTTATAAAATACATTTTCAACGTAATTTTGCTTACTGGGTGGTATGTTTCTGAATGGCCACCCTTGTGTGCCTACTGGATGTTAGAGTCTGTTAGACCCTGTTAGATCATTGCTCTGTGCCCACCGGATGGAGGAGGTTAGAGCCTGCCTGGCCCAGTAATGTGTTTTATAACTGGGCTCAAGGCCCTGCCTGGAGTATAGCCCGACCAGGTCCATTATTATTATTATTCCCAGCTGAGAAGTAGAACATCGGGACTTAGCATTTGTGAGATTACTCCCTGCCTGCTCCTCCATGCTAACCATGGCCTCCCATCCTGCCCTGCCCTGTACTGGACTGCCTCATCCCAGCTAGCCTCAGAGCTGATTGGGTCCAACAGTCAAATCCGTAACCCATTTAGAATATAAATTGACATTTACGTAACCCTTTCCTTGTCTCTTCCCAGAATATCGCACTAATTACATCCGTACATTACATAGGTGTGTGTGTGTGTGTGTGTGTGTGTGAGTATGTGTGTGTGTGAGTATGTGTGTGTGTGTGTGTGTGTGTGTGTGTGTGTGTGTGTGTGTGTGTGTGTGTGTGTGTGTGTGTGTGTGTGTGTGTGTGTATTTATGGAGGTCTATAAAACTGCTTGTGACCTGATTGTTTACCTGTGGAAAACGTTGTTCTTATTAGAAGGATATGTGAAGTTGCCTAATGTGATTGTTGTTGCAGATCAGTTGTTAGCGCTCTGTTAGCCTATCAGTCTGTCTCTCTCTCGCTCTCTGACACTGACAATGACACACAGGTGACGCAGTGCTGACAGGAAGCGCACATAGTTTAAATATTACTGTGGTAATGCCTGCTATTTGTGGCTGCTGCACCATATCAGTTTCTGTCTTCCTTCTGCCAGTTTCTCTTTTCCTCTCCCACCATCTCTTTCTGCTCTTTATCAGCTAATAAGAATAACAAGGCAAACAGGTGAAATGGATGGGAAACTGCTTAGAAAATCAATTTCACTTTCCCTCTCTCTGTTCCTCCCCACATAAAAAATACTACAGTTTACTATAGAATACTACAACTTACTATATAACTATGTCCCTCGATCATGTGTAGTACTTAGTATAGATTTTTTTGTATACGGTAGAATACTATAGTAAATACTACAGTATTATCCGCACAAAAAACACTGTAGTAAATACTACAGAAATGTCAGCAAAAACACTACAGTCTGCAAAAACACTGCATTTCTTAAACTATAATAAATAATACCGTATTTAATTTGCATAAACCCTGCCCATTCCCCTCCCATTGTTCCAATTTGTGCCACCCACAAGTGAGAAACCTACATGCCAAGTATAGACGATATATTGTGTTCTCCACAGGCTATAGAGACACAGACCATATATTGTGTTTTTTTTACAGGTCATAGAGAAATGCTGAATGCTGTTCAGAACCAGTGGTGGAAAAAGTACCCAATTTTCATACTTGAGTAAAAGTAAAGATACCTTAATAGAAAATGACTCAAGTGAAAGTCATCCAGTAAAATACTACTTGAGTAAAGGTCTAAAAGTATTTGATTTTAAATATGCTTAAGTATCAAAAGTCGAAGTATAAATAATTTCAAATTCCTTATATTAAGCAAACCAGACTGCACCATTTTCTTGCTTTTTTTATTTACGGATATCCAGGGGCATACTCCAACACTCAGACATCATTTACAAACAAAGCATTTGTGTTTAGTGAGTCCTTCAGATCAGAGGCAGTAGAGATGCCAGGGATGTTCTCTTGATAAGTGTGTGAATTGGACCATCTTCCTGTCCTGCTAAGCATTCAAAATGTAACTAGTACTTTATTTTCTTAGGAATGTAAACATAAAAGTTGTTCAAAATATAATTAGTAAAGTATAGTACAGATACCTAAAAAAAAATACTTAAGTAGTACTTCAAAGTATTTTTACTTAAGTACTTTACACCACCGTTCAGAACCAAGTCCTTGCTACCTACAGGTTATGGAAAATGTGCTCTTTTGGTATTTCTCCAGTAGGTTTCCTCAAGGAGAAACTCCCCCTACAGTAAATACTACAGTCCACAAAAACACTACAGTAAATACTACGGTAAAGTCTGCAAAAACTATACAGTGAATACTATAGTATTCCTACCATAGTATAGACTATAGTATTTTTTAACGTGGGTCTCTCTCTCCCAGATTCAAATTCTCTTCTGCCTTGGCATTGGAATGCTAAGTATAATTTTTTTCAGAAGCAGTAACCAATTCAACAGATATTAACGTATAGGTCTATGTATTTAACCCCCTCTTTAGATACTGTAGATGTGTTTTTGTCTCTGCCTGTCTGTTTTCTATGGTCATTCATTTCTCTCCCCTCCCCTCTCCCCTCCCTCTCTCTCTCTCTCTCTCTCTCTCTCTCTCTCTCTCTCTCTCTCTCTCTCTCTCTCTCTCTCTCTCTCTCTCTCTCTCTCTCTCTCTCTCTCTCTCTCCTTGCAGTGCTCTCCTTCCTTTGTTTGCTTGTTCCTGTTCTCAGTGCTTAGTTCCCACCCAACAACAGCTGCTGAGCTCTGATAGGCTGACGCGGGTAGGAGGCGGGGCCGACCTGTTTTTATCCTTTTCTTGCTCTGAGCTCAGTACAGACCTCAGTTCATTATCGGCGACAGACAGAGAGAGTCAGGAACAACCCACACTCGCGCTCACACACAACCTACAGCCCCAGACCTGTCGAAAATAACGATTTACTAGCACTACGTACACAGGGAGATTACCTTAACCCAAACTTGGACTATACAACTCTGCTTTCGGACCAGGAAAGCACAGGGAAACTAAACGTTTTTACTCTTCTCTTCTGCTTCCTGCTGCACCCTTTGTTTTTCCTTCCGTGGTCTCTGCTGTCCAAGCAGGCGTTCATTAGCGCCCCACAGCGAAAAAGAGCGGTACAGCCAGAAGATAGGCAGCCCGAGCAGCCTCATCGTGGGCCCCTCCAGTTTAGCTGTCCGATGCGGAGTGAGGATGAGTCCTGCTCTAGAAGCCCTTATGCAGGCAGACGGGACGCCCCTCCTATCCCGGGAAAGGAGTGATGCTTGAGCCCTTTGTGCACCAGGTGGGGGGCCACTCTTGCGTGCTGCGTTTCGGCGACCAGACCATCTGCAAGCCCCTCATCCCCCGAGAACACCAGTTCTACAAGAGCCTGCCCCCCGAAATGAGGAAGTTCACCCCCCAGTACAGAGGTAAGCTTTTTCCCTACCCAACCTAAACCTACAATATAATGCTACTGTCATGTGAATAACATCCATTATGCTGTGTGTGTGTGTTGTGCCCTACTGCTATTGCCCTTTATTTCTCTCCTCATCTCCTTTCTTCTCTCTCTATCTTTCTCTACCTCCACCTCTCCATTGCTCTCTTTTTATCTCCCTGGTTATCTCTACTGATATGGTCAGCTGGAGTGTTTTGTAATATTAGCTGCATTTAGGATTACAGCAGGTCACTGGAGATGGCAGTACCACAGCAGCACAAAGGGTTTAGTTTCATTGTGGGGCTCAAGTGAGAGGGGGGTTGGGGACAGACAGTATGTGACTGCATGATGCATCAGGGCTCTGCAGTGTCGGGTAATGTAATGGTGGAGAGGGGTATGACAGGATCTTCATCCCCTGATGGATAGGTGTGACCAAGGCATTCTGCATTAGACGGAGACAACCCTCATACACACGCAAAGGTGTCCTTGGTTGGGTAAGTCAGTCACACAGGCAGGATGTAATGTGTCTTTTATTAGATTCTATTCTGTTCCATTGGATTATATCGCCATTGAAATATCACAGAGGACCAACAGCATCACTATCTCGTCTGCTCAGACCATGGTCGGCCCCAGGCCCTCTCCTGACAGTAGGGATAAAAGCCCAGTAGCCCTGAGCGCCTGCCCGGCATGTCCGCATCTCCGAAGAGGGCTAAAGTTACTGGAGGAAGGATCCAGTTCCCAACATACTCAATAATTAATGGGGCTGATCATCAGAGACAGAATGCTGAGTGGGAGAGATAGCTGTGTCTGACTGGACATCAGCCTGTCATGGATAACGAATACACACACAAACACTCTCACACACCTTGGGTGGAATATCTCACTCTGTATTGTTTTTCATTGACCATGATGCTACATTCGGTGCCTCCTGACACTTGCACTCACAGATAGGCCTACACACACATCACACACACATACACTTTCTATCAAGTCACTCCTACCCCGGTTATGTGATGGAGTTGAGGCGCTAGCATGTATCTGACTCTGCAGCAATGCATCGTAGAACTATAAAAAGACCAGTGTGATTTGGATGGTAGATGAAGCTGTAGAAAGAAGAGCACAGACGTCTGGTGACACTGAGAATATTCCACACCTAACAAACACACTTACTTCTGCTCAAAACACTTTTACACACACTCTCACACTCTTACAAACTAATGTAGGCCCATATACAGTCACGTTCACACACTTGCATACTCACAAAGCACATGAGTCGCAGGCACTTAAACACTCATCCTTACATGCCCCGCTAACAGTGCAGCTCTGTCAGTTGGAACAGCCCTGGCCAGTAGAGGGTTAACTGCTTCAGGGTAGTGACATCACTGTGCATGACATCACTCAAGACAGGCGCTGCAGAGGAGAGATAAGCGCTGGGTCCCATTGTCCTCCAAGTCACTGGCCAACCCACCCATTATCAGCTCATACACATAGGCCCTAATGAAGGATCTGTCTTTATGCTTCAGAGAACCTTTCCTCCAGTGTAAACCAGGGATGTTTTTGTTTGTATTTCAGAAAGGCTGGGATTTGCTTTTGCTGTCAGTCTTATTGTCATGTTTAAATTCAATGGGATGCTGAATATCCATCCCCCTGCCTATCTCTCTCCATCTCCCAATCCCGCTGTTCCTCCCTCCCTCTCTCTAGTTTGTCTGTGTCAGCTCCTGCAGCTGTGATGTTTACTCTTCCTGTCTTGACACCCACCACCCCCTTCCCCCAGTCTGCAGAGAGGGTTGCAGTACACAGGCCCTTCTGCAGGGGTTTATTAGGTAGAGGGGGATAGGGGGTGTGTGCATGTTTGGGGAACGCATCATAAATGATCCCAGGACTAAGTAACAGTGTGTACAGTTTTCTATGAAAGTGTTCCGGAGACCCACCACCCTCCTCTCCACCACTCCGTCCATCCCACCACTCTGTCCATCCCACCACCCTCCTCCCCACCACTCTTTCCATCCCACCACCCTCCTCCCCACCACTCTGTCCATCCCACCACCCTCCTCCCCACCACTCTGTCCATCCCACCACCCTCCTCCCCACCACTCTGTCCATCCCACCACCCTCCTCCCCACCACTCTGTCCATCCCACCACCCTCCTCCCCACCACTGTGTCCATCCCACCACCCTCCTCCCCACCACTCTGTCCATCCCACCACCCTCCTCCCCACCACTGTGTCCATCCCACCACCCTCCTCCCCACCACTGTGTCCATCCCACCACCCTCCTCCCCACCACTGTGTCCATCCCACCACCCTCCTCCCCACCACTCTGTCCATCCCTTCCCTTTTTCATTTGTTAGTGTGTTTGGATTATTGACTTCAAATGGACTGTATAAAAAGGCAAGTCAGACTGAATGGACTCTTAAAACATGGACTGGTCAGAGAGACGGTGCACACAAAATGCCTGTCTTGATGGAACTGTTGTATCTCTATGAAGTATAATTCAGGTGTGTTGTTGTTGTGGTGGTTTTTGAGTTTATACAGTGTATTTTTGCTGTCATTTCTTTTGGGTTGCCTTGAAACATTGTAACACTGTGTATCAGTTAATTTGTGGTTCTGGGTGGGTTTGGTAGTTTCTCAATAAAGGTCGGACTGAGTGTCATACATTTGAGCCTCCTGTGGTGTTTGTGTATCTCTTTGCTTCTTGGGTTCATTCTCACATTCACATTTGAAGTACTTGGAAACACATACATTGTTGTTGCCACTTATTGCTCTCTCTCTGCTGCCTCCTTGACCCCCACCCACTCTCTCTCTCTGCTCCCTCCATAGCAAAGCATGTGTTTGTTTGTGTTTGCGTCTCTCTTTACAGAGTGTATTTGGCTGGAAGCAGGACCCAGTTGGTAAGAGCTGCCTATGACTACCCAGTTACTGGGAGGTTTTGGCTTCATCATAGCATTATAAAATAAAAAATCCAATGCCGGGTACTAACCACCTTCCTATCCTTCTCTTTTCCCCTTCCCTCCATCTCTCCCTCTCTCAGGTGTGGTGTCAGTCAGCTTTGAGGAAGACGAAGAGGGCAACCTGTGCCTCATTGCTTACCCCATCCACAATGAACCAGAGAACATGGAAAACAAGGACCCCTCAGCTGACTGCGAGCCTAAAAGCAAGATGATCAAGTGGGGCAACAAGAAATCATCGTCCCTATTGCTGGATAATGACAACTACAGCAAAGACCGGGCCAGACAGAGCACTAAAGAGAACAAGAGCAAAAGGTGAACACATACTGTTGCATCCATACACATACTGAATGTACAAATATATCCAAACACCAACAGTTTCATAGATTCAATACAGCAAAGATGTACTGTATGGTGATTGGCAGATATCTAACTTCTCTTTCCTCTCTATGTGTGTGTAGTTATAACGGTGCGGAGGTGCAGCAGCAGGCTGAGGTACTCCGCTACAGCCTAGATCGGAAGCAGATCAAACACAACCCCTGGAGTCTGAAATGCCACCAGCAGCACCTCCAGAGGATGAAGGAGAACTCCAAACACCGCAACCAATACAAATTCATCCTGTTGGAGAACCTGACATGGCGTCACGCAGTGCCGTGCGTGCTGGACCTGAAGATGGGCACGCGGCAGCACGGTGACGACGCGTCAGAGGAGAAGAAGGCCAACCAGATCCGCAAATGTCAACAGAGCACCTCCGCCTCCATCGGTGTCCGGCTTTGTGGCATGCAGGTGTACCAGTCAGACTCAGGCCAGCTGATGTTCATGAACAAGTACCACGGGAGGAAGCTGAGCCTGCCGGGCTTCAAGGAGGCTCTGTTCCAGTTCTTCCACGACGGGCAGCGTCTGCGGCACGAGCTGCTCTCCCCGGTGCTGCGGAAGCTCAGGGAGATGCAGGAAACCCTGGAGTCCTGCGAGTCCTACCGCTTCTACTCCTCCTCCCTCCTCATCATCTATGATGGGGAGCCCCCCCGCGCCCCCACCCGACCCCGCCACCGTGGAGGAGAGGAGGGTGATGAAGACGAGCCCTCAGATGAGGAAGAGGAAGAAGGGGCGTTTGGGTTCACCCGTGGCTCGGCAGCTGGCAGCAGTGCTGGCGGGAGCAGTAACGGGAGCAGTAATGGGAGCAGTAACGGGAGCAGTAACGGTAGTGCCGGTCGCTCGTCCCGTGGTGGAGCAGGGGAGGCCAGCAGCCCGGCAGTGGATGTGAGGATGATAGACTTTGCCCACACGACGTGTCGCCATTACGGGGAGGACAGTGTGGTGCATGAGGGTCAGGACAGTGGCTACATCTTCGGCCTGCAGAACCTCATCACCATCATCTCCCAGCTGGAGGAGCATAGCGCCGACTAAAGGCTGAGCCTCCACTCTGGGAAGCTAACCTGGGAATAACAGCACTGAGCTGTAGCTGTAGCCCTGCTCTATCCTCCTCCGCCACTGGCCCGGTCCTAATGGCCACGACACGGCCGGGGGTCTGACCCCCCACCTACTGTAGGGGAGAACCAGGGAGATTCTGGCCCGGGGGAGGGGCCACGCTGGGGTCGGTTCTGCACTCCCCACCCTTCCCCTGAACCAACACGGGACAGGACCGCTTGTGCACTCGTTTGCACCTTGTCTCTGTGACTGTTCTTTCTCTCTTTCTCCCTTTCTTTCTTTTCTATGTGGTGGGAGAGATTGTGGCTGAGACTCTAGTCTATTAACAGGCTCAGGGACTCCAGTAGCGTCCTCCTTTCCTCTCCTTTCCACCTCTGCTCCTCTGTTACAGACAGTTTTCTTTACTGTATGGTCTCTCTGAGAGAGAGACGTAAAGCTTAAGTGTAGTTCTGTGAGTCAGACTTGGTGCTTATTAAACTGTAAGGTTACATGAGGTGTTTGTGGATTGAGTTTGGACTGCCGTTCCCCCAACCGCACAGCACACACGAGTGGGAGTTGCTTCTGTACAGACTGAACGGGTCTGGGCAGGTTTGCTCAGTCGGCTGGCAGCTCTGTAGCGAGTGATCTCCTCGCTCTCCTATGGCTGACATTTCGTATTTCTCCTGGTGTCTCTGCTGGTCCCAGCAACAAACAAACAAACATAGACTTGTTTTACTTTTGGGCGTCTGGGTTTACTACAACAACTACGCATGGAGAAGACACTTTTTTTTGTCTTGGAAGGAGAAGAAGATTTAGGTGAAGAAGAAGGAATTTCTACCATTTGTCCACCATACTCCCCCCCTGTACTGTTTAGTCCCGAAATCATAGACATTTAATGTAGGGGGTTATAAGGGGATAATGTAATTACTTTGTAACTTTCTTTGTTTTTCATTCCTGAAATGGTGACTGAAGAAGAGAATATATTGATAAGGACAATAAATACTATATGGAAACTATATAGAGAAAGACTATATAGAAACTTTATTTATTTGACATATTTCTTTAAAATAAAAAAATAAAAAATGAGAAACTAAATGGAGAAAATAATTACTACATTCCATATTACTGTTCTAAATGTTCTGTTCTGATAATGACGTTAGTGAATATAGTTTCTTTGCAAGATACCTCTCTTGTATACCTGTGTGTCAACAGTATGTTTTATGTTGGAAGTAAAATAAAGACATTTCTTTGTGGTAAAAGCACTTTTCTGTCATTGAGCGCACAATACTTGTAGGAAAGGGATGGGAGGGGGCACGGGGTGTTGGAAAATAAGGGGGGGTTGTGGGAGGAAAGACAGGAAATAAAAATGAAATGGCTGTTAAATTGACCACTGAAATACTGTTGTGTCACCATGGCACACCACACTTGCAGGAAGTCAGTTTAAATAAGCCATCCTGTGGGAAAATGAGTCACTTCTACACAGGTGTGGTTCACGGAGAGAATGAAGAGGACTGAATCTGACGTCACTCCTTCACCCTTTCCACCCAGTTGCACCTCTTTCACAGCCAAGGGCAATGGCAGTTCACAACTCAATTAAAACTAAACGGAATTTCCATGATCTAATTTAGAGAATGTCCCTTCGCCTGTCAATGGACAAGTTTTGGGGTCTATGAGTGCTCACAGGAAAAATAAGGACACTTTTCGTTACACGCGTCACACTATTTGAGAGTTTATCATATTATGCAGTTTAGGTGTTTTGCTTTGTCTGTTTTCTGCCCGGCTGAGACGTCTATGACTGCCACGCCTGTTGTAGCACGTTTATTATCCTCGCATTAGGGCCCCCTCTCGCTCCCTCAGATTATTCTCCGCAATAAGCAGTAGGCTGGTAGAACCAGGGAGTGGTGTGATGTTGGCTGATGCAAGTTGTTGCCATGGCAATCTCCCTAAGTAACATTTTGGGCTTACCTGTGCCCTCTGACCCTCGTATTGGGAGCCGTTGTTTCCGAGTGGCAGCAGAGCCTTTGTTCCACGTCCAAATCGGCTTTCCAGGATCGGAAAATGCTGAGCTGGGTAGGGTAATACCACGGCTTGATAATGTGGAAAGTATGTGAGGAATGCTGCTTCACACCACAGGCATGGCTCACCTGCTACTTATAGAAGCAAGAGGGATGCCTGGGGTCACAACTGAAAGGCCTTTGAAATGAGATACTTTTTACAAAAACTAGGTGGGTGACAACAGATGCCTATTATTAGCATTGTATAAATAGAAGGTTAGTTGAATGTGTGAGATAGTTGAAGCGGCGAAGTAACAGGATATATTAAGAGGCTTAGAGGCCTTTATCAGTAGTGGAGCTGTAAACGGAGCAGTGACGGCTTGTAAAAGTGGAGTGTGGGTTTAGAGACACCGGATATGCTTTGTACTTGGATTATTATAGACTGATGGGCTCATTTTACATTACATTTTTGTCATTTAGCAGACGCTCTTATCCAGATGAGGTCTTTAGAGAGAGAGATAGTGGATGTAGTAAAGTTGAATGATGGAGGCTGAGAGAGAGAGACAGTAGATTTTATCCATCATCAAGGAGCAGATCGAGGTCCATGTTGAAGATCTAATTAATGTGACACATGGAGGTTGAGAGAGAGAATGCTGAGGTCTAGATGGGCCGATGACGTCTGTGGAATCTGACTGGTGGGCTTGATGTTTACTGGGCTGATGGAGTGCTAGGCTGTGGAGGGCGGCTCGATGATGCCCCATGAAGGGCACACGGCGCCTGGGGGAGAGTCACGCAGACTCCTGCCCACCCTTACTTCCACCACGATCCGGTCCCAACCGGTATGAGCTCACTGAATCAGGGCCTGCAGTCAGAAGACCCACATACACAGACACTGTGTGTGGGCCATCCATTCCTTCACCCATGATACACTGATGCTAGGGCCTCTACTGTGTACTGTACCAAGCCGTGCACTCATATCTGCTTACAGTAAGACTCAAAGTCAAGGATTGGAAGGGGGAAGCTACAAAATGAGTCATAACACATCCATAATTGGTAAGGCAGATTTCCAGCAGGACAAATTGTTAGCCCTGCCTCTTACGTCTCAACTTAGAGTAATAAAGCCGCATTGCATTCAAGGACAGTTTCAATAACAATCCAACTTGCTGTAGGCCCAATAACTGATGTCAGCTAGAACTGACGAGTCAATGCCTCAACAAGGAAATCATCTACTTACTGTAAATGCCTTTCATTCATCTTCATTACCAAGCATAAAACTGACAACTCATCCCCCTACCAGACCAACACCAACATCAGCTATAAACTGATATATCATCATAAGAAAGGCAGGGATCAGTTATTTCATCTGTGGTTAATTCCACACTCTTGTGCAATACCCTGCCTCTCTAGTCTTTTCTAGGAAAATTGTGCAATTCATTATCGTGAACAAGGTCGACATAAAACGGAACTTGATCATAGTTAATCTCTTCTCAGTCATCCAGGCTTGCAGTTCAAAGCCCTTCAATGCTCTGCCTCTTTGTTCCTCAAGCAGTCCTTTTGTAAATCCTTGTTCCCAGCTACTCGTTATGGTGCTCTGTAATTAAAGGCCTTTCATAAGCCTCTCCAGAAACTCTCTGTGGCTTTCTCTCTCTTACTTACTGGGATTTGGTGTGTGCTTTTGTACTATGTTTGGGGGTGGAGGGGCATGTGTGTATACAGTGGGGGGAAAAAGTATTTAGTCAGCCACCAATTGTGCAAGTTCTCCCACTTAAAAAGATGAGAGAGGCCTGTCATTTTCATCATAGGTACACGTCAACTATGACAGACAAATTGAGAATTTTTTTCTCCAGAAAATCACATTGTAGGATTTTTTATGAATTTATTTGCAAATTATGGTGGAAAATAAGTATTTGGTCACCTACAAACAAGCAAGATTTCTGGCTCTCACAGACCTGTAACTTATTTTTTAAGAGGCTCCTCTGTCCTCCACTCATTACCTGTATTAATGGCACCTGTTTGAACTTGTTATCAGTATAAAAGACACCTGTCCACAACCTCAAACAGTCAAACTCCAAATTCCACTATGGCCAAGACCAAAGAGCTGTCAAAGGACACCAGAAACAAAATTGTAGACCTGCACCAGGCTGGGAAGACTGAATCTGCAATAGGTAAGCAGCTTGGTTTGAAGAAATCAACTGTGGGAGCAATTATTAGGAAATGGAAGACATACAAGACCACTGATAATCTCCCTCGATCTGGGGCTCCACGCAAGATCTCACCCCGTGGGGTCAAAATGATCACAAGAACGGTGAGCAAAAATCCCAGAACCACACGGGGGGACGTAGTGAATGACCTGCAGAGAGCTGGGACCAAAGTAACAAAGCCTACCATCAGTAACACACTACGCCGCCAGGGACTCAAATCCTGCAGTGCCAGACGTGTCCCCCTGCTTAAGCCAGTACAAGTCCAGGCCCGTCTGAAGTTTGCTAGAGTGCATTTGGATGATCCAGAAGAGGATTGGGAGAATGTCATATGGTCAGATGAAACCAAAATATAACTTTTTGGTAAAAACTCAACTCGTCGTATTTGGAGGACAAAGAATGCTGAGTTGCATCCAAAGAACGCCATACCTACTGTGAAGCATGGGGGTGGAAACATCATGCTTTGGGGCTGTTTTTCTGTAAAGGGACCAGGATGACTGATCCGTGTAAAGGAAAGAATGAATGGGGCCATGTATCATGAGATTTTGAGTGAAAACCTCCTTCCATCAGCAAGGGCATTGAAGATGAAACGTGGCTGGGTCTTTCAGCATGACAATGATCCCAAACACACCGCCCGGGCAACGAAGGAGTGGCTTCGTAAGAAGCATTTCAAGGTCCTGGAGTGGCCTAGCCAGTCTCCAGATCTCAACCCCATAGAAAATCTTTGGAGGGAGTTGAACGTCTGTGTTGCCCAGCGACAGCCCCAAAACATCACTGCTCTAGAGGGGATCTGCATGGAGGAATGGGC